CTGTGAGCACACACCAAGATGTCAGTCTGCCTCCGTTCTGCTCATACCTCTTTGGGCACCTTAGGGAGAGACAACAGAGAAGAAACAGTCAGAGCTGCTAGGTGAGTCCACTTGTTTATGAATCATACAAAAGGGTGTTCACATAGATTTCTGGGGACGCAGCCAGTAAATAAAAAGCCCCAAATGTATAATCATTCTAAGCAATTTCTTTCTTCCTTTCCAGATTTCTTGGGATCTACATGAGATCCACTAAGATCTGAGCCCGTTTGTGCAAGGGACTGAGTAAATTGACTTCTTCATGAAGTCGATAGCAGGGGCAGAGGTTAATTGCTACATATGCGTCTTGGATGTCTGTTTCCTTTTTTACACTATTCTGTTAATGAAATATTTAGTTTCAGCAAGGCTGAAAGGGAGATTGAAGAATATATGGGAAAGAATATGTTAAAATCTGGCATTAAATTACCATAAAAGCCTAAAAAGTGTGTTACTTATAGATGGGGTAAGCCCTGAGGTTACTATGGCCTGAATGGTTACAAAGCCTTGAATTTCCTTCCTCTCTTCCAGGTTTCCCATGAATTCCTTGCAAAGTAAAAATTGCAATTCATGTAGTCAGGCTGAATGATTCAGTGACTCTTATGGTAAATGCATACTGTCAGTATTTGTGACCATGGTGCTAAGAACAAAGTCTAGAACTGGTACCTCATAGATGGCAAAGCCAATGGTGTACAGGTTGGCTCCCAGCTTGCGTTCTTTCCTCCTATTTTTCTGCATCAGTGCGACGAGGAAGCTGCAGACAATCTCTTCATCCTCAGGATCATCATCTTCTTCCAGGAGCTTCAAGCGATACTGGGGATTGGTCCAAAATGTATCTGTGAAATCCCACCAACAGCCCAAAGCAAACATGTAAAGCTTCAGTCTTCTAATGATACTCATAATCAAAAAGAACTTTTAAGTTCCCTGCCTGTGGCTCCTGACGGAAAGGTTAAAACTGGGCTAATATGTATATATTTTTTTATGTGTTATGGGTTTTACATAGTTCTAACAAAACTTTACAGTAAAAGAGGGTATAAAATGAAGAATTGGCATCTAACAAGCTTCCAAAGTGGATTTCCCAAGTGAAATCTAACTGTTAGAGTGCAACTGATCTCTCTTATCTCACTTGGGGCACTGTGAGGTATTTGATTTATCTTTGCCAGGTGTGCCTTTTGGGCTGACGAGGTGCTGTCACAAACCTAGTGACAGAAGACTTCCAGCTACAAAATCACGTGCCTTGTCCACTGGGGAAGCAAGGCTCTTCCTATGGCCAAGCACTGATCAGGCTGTGGTATGACTTAGCCTGTGGGAACTAATACAGTCCCCGTCAAAGAGCCCTTATCTCTCTTAAGACCCATCGCTCACCTGGATAATTGCGGCAACCTCCAGCTGAGCAGCCTCTCACCCAGCGCCCTTCGTTGACTGACACAGTCCAGGTCTGGAGTTTATCGGCTTCCAGAGTATCAGGTGTGAGGTTACAGATCTCAAGTTTTGTGAAGTGCCTCATGAAATCGTCAAATGATATCCTGGAAAAATTGAGGGGAAACTGAACCCAAATGGATTTACGTGGTGGGTGGTTGTCTGAAAGATGCCGGTGAGGTGGAGGAGGGTGACCTATGTTACTGCCACCATTAGGGCAGGTTTGCAGTGGGAGTGCTGTGATTTCCTAATGCATTTGGTTGGTCAATTAACACAGATACAGCTCCAAACTGGGGGACGCTGGGCTGAGAGGATGGTACATAGGAAGGGTGATGGAGAGCTTGTGGAAATGTGGCATAATTAGGACTGTGCTGGTGGCACTCAATAAACCCTGGTGGGAGAATGAGGGGATCACAGAGTAGGGCTTATTGGCAATATGAAGGTGAACGGGGGTTACTGCAATGGTTTTAGCAGATTTTAAGTGGTGCAGTGTGATTCATTTTTGCTATAGTTGCCTATCTCCTAGAGAAACACAGGTTTTTGCCTGATATCCTCACCAGAACTCCCCATCCTCCACAATCTTGTGCTGCAGGCGGATTTTCTCTGCTTCATTAATGAAGTTCCATTCCTCTGACCTTTAAAAGAGTACACAAGTTAAATTTACGACTTGCAATACAGTTTTCATTAAAACTTCTACTCTTTGCTGTAAGCCGCGTAGAATGGAAAGTCAAGAGCCATTCTGCTACATTCATATAATTATTCCTTTGTGAGCCTTGCAACCATTTGTTCTGAATGCTACCCCCCTCTCCACGTGCCCAAATAAAGAAGCAATTGCCCTACTTCTCTCTGCCTTCCCTTCAGACTTTCTCTTAGCAGCTCTCAAAAATCTGCTGAACTGCATTCATTTCATTTAGCTTGAAGATAAAAGTGTTTGCAGACTCTTATTGCTGGAGTAGCTATTGAAATTGCTTTTAGTAAAACCTAATGAGAAGCTTTATCCAAACTCGCTCATGTACTAACATCTTGCTTCATCCAGTTCTTCCATACCTTACAAGACTTTTCTACTGTCACATCTTGTTTTAAAAATGGACATTGCTGAACTTGCTAGACAGTAAAATCAGATTGACTGGGCTCTCTCTTCATTTCCATTGATTATAGCCCCTCTTAACATCTTTTTTTAGGTACTCTTTTCTTTTTAGAGCTTCAGCTAAGCACTCAACTATGATCAATTTCAAAGTGCGTGTATCAAAATGACAGCAAAGACAATTCAGATACCTCATCATTAAACGTTAGGGTCATGCACAAGCTGCATAAGGGCAAATAAAGCTGCAATTTTTTTTTTCCAAATCACGTGAAGCTCCGTTTTACTTACTTGTCACTCCAAGGTCCGTTCCACTCCACCTGCCCCCAGGGGTTTCTCAGCCTTACCAGACGTATTTTTTCCCCTTTAAATGTTGTCTAGTTTAAAAAAAAAAAACAAAAACAACAAGAAGAATAGACTGAGAGTAGGTTCAAAAGGAAACGTTCTGCCTGTCAAATCGCTGATACCAGCTCCTCCAGTGATGGTGCTTTCCTGGGCCATCGCCCAGCCTGACCTGCTTGGGGTGAGTGTGGGAGGGCTGTAAGACCAGGAGGTGGCCGGCTGTGGCCACCTTTGCCCAAGCAGACCATGGTGGAATATCCATTTCCCCAGAAAGCCAAAACTTGGACAGGTTTATTTCTCCACAAGTCTTTCATTTATTGAAATATAAATTTTGTTTCCTTAGCTCATAATTTGATTTGCTTTCACTCCCTGATAGCTTTGCTGACATGCGTGGTTCTAGGCCAGTGTAGACCACCGCTCCCCATAGCTGGAGGAAAGGGACTGCACGTACCTCTTCCACGGCCGTGACGGAGTAGGCATGGCCTTTGACGAGCCCACAAGACATCCGGGTTTCATACTGCATTGGCACTATGGTCTGTTAGACACAAGATAAAAACTTGTAAGAGTCACGCAAAGCTCATGCTCTAAGGCAGGTGTTGCCACCCAGGGCTTTTGGAGGGAGGGTGACACCATTCAGGTGACAGTGTTTTTTGTCTTGTTCTCTTCTTCGCGTTTGCCAAGGTGGCCAAGCTTAGTGCCCACAGAATTAACGTTGTTGGTTAGAAAGGAGTAAAGCATGAACTAAAAAAGCAAAAAGTTAACAATATCAATTGGAAAGGATGTTTTGTGATTTACTATTTCCCTTTGTGTAGGTTACTGCTTTTTGCACTCAGAACATGCTAGTATAGGGCATGGTTAATCAAAATAATTAAATTTTCTATAAGCAGGACTGTTCAGCCCTTTCTGGGATAGCATGTTCTTGTATGGCTCAGTAAGGTTATTATTAACTGGAAACATCAGAGCAGATCAACACTTAGAAGAATACTTTCATCTTTACACATGGCTGCAATCTTATCACAATGATGTTAAAACACCCTATTTAATACACTGTTCCTACTAACTTACATTATTTTTTTATAAATTAATTTCCTGTGGAGATCTACATTTTATTCCATAACTGTTAAAATCTTCATGATTGAAATTTTTTCCAACTGACATTCAGGAAGAGCATAGCTTTCTTCAGCAGCTCAGGTGTAAATACATTTGCTGTCTTGGTAATCAACTGTTAGTGTGTCTGACAGATTTTTAATTGCAAATCTCAGAATGCTGTTTATCTGGGAGATAAAGAATTGAGAGGAAGATGGCAGGTGCACACAGTCCGCTGTGTTTGTAGGAGAGACCACTGAGAACAGTGGGAAGGGAAGGCTCTGCTACGCACACATAGTCCCCTCCTCCATTATGTCTGTCGCTGAGAGATGACTGCAAGGCCCTGCCAGTAACTCTGCCATCCCTTCTTGACACATCTGAGGGCGTGAGAAAGGTAAGGCTGGAAACAAAGAATTAGTAAGATCACACAGGTACATTCTCAGCTTGCACAGGGAGGATCTCATCCAAATAATTCCTGGCTGTTGCAATTATTTTCCATCATTTCCTTTCTGCTCTGGTTTGTTTTTTTTTTTTTCCCCTGCTCCTGTTTCCATACTTTTTATGCATATAACCTCACATCTATTTCCTTTTTTCTTAATTTCTACTGATGTTGTCACCATCATTACTTATCAGAACCCCTTTTTCTCTTTTCTGCTTAAGAATATTAACTTCTGCTGGTGCCCTGGGCCACTTCTCTAAAGTGCTTCTGAAGTCCGCACTACCTGCCTCTTTCCATCACGAGTCATGATTTTTTTTTTTTTTTCTGGTGATGGCTCAGGACTGTGTAATAGCCAGCAGCAAAATGGCTGCCAGGGCAGCAACTATAAAGAGTTTTCCAACCTTCTTTGAGTAGACAGCGACTGGGGAGGAAATTCCCTCAAAACATGGGTGATTTGGGCAGCCATGCTTGCAAAACAAGACAGTCATACTGGGCTTTCCCGAAGAATTACACCATTTCAGTCTTTTAGGAAGACTAAATGTGGGTGTCAAAAGAGGAAAAACCAGCTATTTCTGCTGCAAATGCAGAAGACCATTTGCGCAACCAAAAGTTTTAGATGATGTAATTGGGGTGGGTGTTGGTTTTTTTTTCTCTCTGTAAAGTTAGAAATGTAATTTCATTGTTATGGAAATGCAGCTCCCCAAAAGGCGAAGTATGACACCGCCTGACAGAGAGAAGGAGAAAGCAACGTGTCCCTCTACAGGTTTGGAAGCTTTTAAGTTTCCCAATATGGGATTTTCCTTTAACGGTTTTAACTTCCCTCTCTCTATTTTGCTAGATACTTAGATACGCTGGAGTTACTTTGCATTGTATCACACGTGTAAAACTTGACATGCTTTTCATTTTCCTTGTTATGCATTTGAAGTGAGGATCTTAAAGGCAGTAATCTAAAAGGAGCATCTGGAGAGCAGACTCCCCTCCATTGATGGGCAGAGCTCCATAGCACTCTCTGTCTCAAAATAAGTTCATCAAGAGCTTTTGTGCCTGGAATGAGAGCTGTGCAGAGCTTGCTTTTTCTTTCTTTCACACCCCCTCCATACTCAGGGATCTTGTTCCGTTGTAGTATTTTAATTTTCTCCCTCTCTCCATCCTTTCCAAGTCAGGGACTTTATAAAATCCACTAATCATGTCCAGTTCCCAAATACAATAACCAATGTGCCACTTTGACATATTTGATGTGATTTTGCTCGCCATTTCTACCGTACAGGTAAGCTCTGGAAATTATAAGCCTTTGCCACAAGCCAACAGCCCTTTGCCTCAGTATCAGCAAAGCCCTCTAGTATCAGTCACTGTGTTTGGAAGGACTGAAATCCTTTAATACGTATGTCAAATAGCATCTGTAAGAACAGGTTTTTAGTCTCGGGATAACTCAGTGAAGCCAAATAAGGATTTAAAAGCATAGATTATATGTTTCTCTAACTGTTCTGTCTGGAAGTAAAAGCCCCGTGAAGTCAACCACTTCTGGAAACATACGAACCCAGGCTGGCCTTTCGTCTGTCCCCTGGTAGTCTACAGTGGAGTGAGTCATCTGCGCGTTTTCTAGATTCTTCACCATTCGAGCAATCAGTTCCCCAATGTCGCTCCGAGGAGCTGATCCGTAGGAAAAGCCTAGGTTATCCTGGTACAGAGAATGGGAGAAAAGTATCATGCAGAAAGATGAGGCAGGGAGAGAGAAGAGAAATGATACAAGAAAGATGAGTAGTAAAAGATAGCCTAGATAACTTCTCGTTACATGCTAGATGGTCCATACTTATCTACAGTGGTTGATAGCACTGGTTGTTCTTCTGCCTTCACTGCAACTTCAGACTCCATAATGGTTACTGAAGCTAGTTTTTTAATTTCACTTTCAAATTAACCACAGTAAATGAAGACAATTTGAGACTATGTTGGCAATTGAAGGGTTGCTTGCCCAAGCATTTGCACACTTTGCATCTTTGACATGAAGTTTTGTGTCTTAGTAGAGTTGCGGCACCCGCCTACTAACCTCATTTTATTGGGTGAGGGCACTGGGGGGGGGGTGTGTGTGTGCTGGTTTTGCTGATCGCACCCCTTCTCCCCACCTCCGTGTTCTGCTTCTGTTAGTTTCTCTTTTGGCACTTGCTATTTGCTAATGGGTGGTGTCTAGTGGAGATGACTCCATCTCCTAGAAATGGATGTTTGCTATGTGAACTAAACCAACTGGTTCCAAAAGGTGGCATGTATTTGATTACAGATGGAGAGGTCCCGCTCGTCTGCCATTTAGAATCATAGAATCATTAAGGTTGGAAAAGACCTCTAAGATCATGAAGTCGAGCCATCAACTCAACGCCACCATGCCCACTAAACCATGTCCCTAAGCGCCTCATCTACACATCTTTTAAATACTTCCAGGGATGGTGACTCCACCACTTCCCTGGGCAGCCTGTTCCAAGGCCTGACCACTCTTTCAGTAAAGAAGTTTTCCTAATGTCCAGTCTAAACCTCCCCTGGCGCAATTTCTTATGGCTCATCTGCAAAGTTCATATGGACTCACTTCAATGGAGCTGGCCATGAGGGATCCTCTGTCAATGGCATGTTTCATGATTTTATAGATATCTTTAGGGGCATCCTTTATCTCGTAGAACTCTGTGACTCCTCCGGTGAAGTCCTCCATGGCTTCAGTGGTGTTGCCTCCTTTCAAAGCTTCATATGACCCATGGAGTCTTGGAAAGAGAAAAGAAAAATAAGATTATCTTTTACACAGATAAAGATACTTACCTATATATATTTTTTATACATAATATGTGTTTATCTTGTGTGTGTGTGTGTATAAATAAAGATATGTAAAAACACATACTAAAAAAAGCCACAAACCATCTGTTTGGTAACCCTCAAGTTAAAAGTTTTAAAACATGCCACCTGCACACATTAAAAAAAAAAAAGAAAATTAAAAATCAAATGTAGACCTCTGAATAAGTAGCAAACCCCCCTAGAAAATATGTTTTACCCATCCTCAATTCTGAGGCATGAGAATCTATGGGAAAAGGCACTGGTATGTTCAGAGCCTCTCTACATGCTCCTTATAGGTCCTGTGCACAGTGGCTTAGCCACCTCCCCAGCCAAAGCCTTGGCGGGCAGCCCGGCACGGTCTGGTGCGTCGTTTTACTTTGCGTAGGCCTTTTCCAGGAGGGCGCTCCAGAACTCGTTGCGCTGGGAGGACTTGGTAAAGACCAGCTGGTTGTGGTACGTGGGTAAGCAGTCATCAATGACGACGTCCACCCAGTCTCCGTAGCGCCAGAACTGAATAAAGGCAAACAGAAAAAAAACCTCTTGGGTTGACTTGGTGGAGGGGAGGGGGAGTCTGGCTGAAAAGCCAGGCAGAGAGAGGAGAAATGTGGAAATTAACTGCTTCGTAACGTGGCAAAAAGCGATGGCTGTTGGGAGGGAGGCAGCCGGACTGAATTCCCCCAGGCAACGTGTGCGGGACAGTGAGAGGTCCCTTAGGAGAGCCAAGGGAAATACGGAAAGCAGTCAATCTTTTCTGAATAAGCGGTTCTTCAATAGCTTGTTTTTTGACAGACCAGCTGCTTGTGGGCCTAAAAATAGATGCTCTTGCCAACTAGCAGCATGTCTGTGCCGGCTGTAGAGCCGCATCTGAGCAGCGAGGCAGGACCGGGCACCTGTTGCTATCCCTTAGGCTCAGGGGACAAAATGCTGCAACCTGCAAATGCCTCCTTGGTGGGTTAATGCTCCCGAATTGCCCGTATGGGCTGGCCCTTCTGTGACTGCCCTGTTGGAAGAGTTTGGGGTGAGGCAATTCAATCCCTCTTCCTTCCCCGCTGTCCCTCACGCTTCCAAAGGGTGGAGAAGTGAGAGGGAAGAGCGCGCCTGAGAGCTGAGCGCTCTCTTGGGTAAATACAATTACATTTGCTCCCTGCTAGCTGAAGGGACTCACCTGGAAGTGAAAGATGCCGGCATAGTTCTGTATAAAGGACTGGTCATGAGGTATGACTCTACAGAGTAGTTTTTTATTCAGCGTCAGGCAAGCAATGGCGGCCAGGAACCAGCAGTCACCTGTAATCAAGCAGAAGCAGCAGACAAAATGAAGGACAGAGCAAGTAGGATCAAAGGGAAAACCTTATTCTCAATAGAGCAGGAGAGGGTTTTTCTCCATGTGTTCTGCAGTACTTTAGCACTTTATTTATTTGTGCTCTGGAAATGCTCGTGGGCATCATTCATGGCTACGTACTCGCCTGTTAATAGAGGATGTTCCCTGTAATTTAGAAAAAGCCTAAAATCCGATGAGCACTGTTACCTGTGTTAAGATTTCCCTGTCCCATGTGAATGCCTATCTGACTTCCCGCGTTAGTTTTCCTTCCAAGCTTAGGACAGAGACCAGCTGAGAGAGAACTCTCTCCCAGGTGGAGCTCTGTACGGCTGAGGTTCAGCCTCTCGTCTTCGTTTTCTGCTCTCAGGGTAACCCCCTGTCCCAGTCATCGTTCTGTTGGGCCTCTTTCCCGCTTCGTTGCTCTGACGTGTTTTCCTCTTTTTGAATCTGTGTTTGCACTGTTATAAGCACTGTCCCCTTTAGCACTTTTCAGTTCCTCCTTCAGGCTCTTGCACAAGTTTGCTGCCTCTGTGGAAGCTCTGGGAAAGTGACTTTCTCCCATAGTACTTCTGTGTTCAGCAAAGGATGCCTTAAACCTTAATTAAAACCTCCTAGCTGCTACTCTAAGAGAGGTTATAGGGTAAGCTTGCCTGAGCAGTGTGAATTAGTGGGGCGAGAGAATTATACGAGGTAGTGAAAACTAAACCTGATGGTAGGGAGTTGTAAAATAAATTTATAAAACTGGTGGAGTGATAAAACTTATAAAAATACATACATGTATATATTTTGGAAAGCCAACTCTACACATAGAGCAGTACGTTCTAAGTTACCTATTTCCCCTTAGGAAGGATGTGGGGTCCACTGTGAACAGGAGTTTTCTAAACTGTCCAATGTTCAGCAGAAGTCAAAAAGGTAAACAATGCTATGCGTAGTTGGGGAAGGAATGGAAGACAAAAGAGAGAACATATTATGCACGTAAATTCATTTGCGTCCACACCTTGACAACTGTGAAGTTCTGGTCACCTCAAAAAGAAAGGCAGTTTTAAATAAATTTAAAAAAAGAAAAAGTACTGGGAAGGTGATGAGGACAGTCACGAGCACAGAACAACACTTAAATGAAAAGATTAACACACATTAGGATGTATTAGCTTAGGAAAAAGATCACAGGAGAAGTTATAAACCCATGAAAGAAATAACAGGACTAAATACCTGAAAAAATACAACAGTAGCTGATTAGTTTTTTCTCTCAGTCAAATAACTCCGTCTCTTTAACTCTTATTCTTAACTAATTTTGTCCCTCCTCAAAGCCCAAAAGAAAGGCCAAATGGTGCTTTGTAACACACTCGTGATAATAGCTCGTGAAAAGCAAAACACCCTGCAAAGCATCTTTCGCTTTAAGTTCTTCCCTAGAACGCTGCTGGGCAGATACCAACGATTTGCTGTAGAGAGAAGGAATCAGTAGATGTGTGGTGGTATACTGAGACAGAAGATTCCAAGTATCACTTTGGAAGCAAAAGAAAATTAAGTGATGCAGACTTTAAAAAGTGCAGAGTTGAAGAAAGAATTTCATACCTAATTCTCCTTGGCAGATATCTGTTCTGTTGGCTCCACCGATAATAAACCGTGGATTCTCACAAATTTCCTGCAATATATAAACAGACAGATGAGCAGGAAAAGCACGCATTATGATGCCTGTTTGCCACAGAAATAAAGGCTGTTTTAGGACACTGTTTTCCTGTAGGATAGTTTGTGGATATCAAAATCTCTTGCAAAGTTTTCAGCTGCAGAGTTTCACTATGAAAATGTTTTGGAATCTGGATGTTCCAGATGTCAGCCAGAGTTTTCTCCATGTATCTACTAGGGTCTAATAGCTAGCCTGGGGAGATGCCTCTATATGTGGTTTAAACACATTAAAATGAGAAGAATATGGAAAAATATTTTTCTACACAATAATGAAAAAAAAAAAAAAACCACTGGAGGTGACAGGAGAGAAGGTAGGTGGAAAGAGCATCAGGGGACTAGATTAAATTCTTTAAAAATGACTGCAGGTTTAAGGTGTCCAATTTGCAGTAACAAATATGCAGGGGCATTAATAGGGTTGAAGAATCCATTTCATCAGGAATGAACCCCCGTAATACTCCTCCTTAAAATTTGTCCAGGATCAGAAGTTTAATTCTCAGGAATAATCAATTGCTGGCTAAGTGATTGTATTCTTTTCCTCACGTTGCAGTATTTAATTGTCAGTGCTGCATTCAGAAATGTATACGGGTATCATCTGTCTCTGAGGACAGAAAGCTCTTCTTTTGTCCTGCACTTAGGACAACGTATTTATACTAGTACAGAATGGGCACAAGATAGTACAGGCATAAATAACTAAGGAATTGCTGTAAGGAGGGAAGGACTATGTAGGAACTACCAGCAAATGAGGTGGGACTATTGCAGAGTTACATAGAACCTTTTCTATATGGGACAAAGAACCGCAGGGTATAGGAAAGCCAAGGGAAGAAATAGGTACAACCTGTCCTACAGAGGAAAAAAAAAAAAGTCCCTGCTTTATCCCATCTCGTACTCAAATACTTGGTATGGGGAAGAAAAAGAAGACACTTAACTTTTGGATGCATCTCTTGTGAGGGTAAGGAAAGAAGGATATTGCAACCTGAGGACCTGCAGCCAGGAGCGGCTGCAAACAGGGAAGAAGACAAAGTATAGTCCAAGAACCCAATCTGCTGGAAGATGGCAGGGCTGGAGTGGGAAGGAGAAAGAAGAAACAGCCGACAATTACTTGTGTGGCAGCACAGGCAGCTGATGCTACCTCCGCGGTCTAAAGTTTTTTTCCCGTGTCATCAGGGTAGCCCTGGATTTTCCCAGACTCATGTTTCGGGTCTAGTAGTTTCACTTGGCTTGAGCCCGCTTTTTTGCTCCTTCACAGTAATCAGCAGAGTTGCTTTGATGTAAATATTTGGATTAGTCATATTGCCAGATAGAGAGACCAGCTTCCTGCTCCCCCCAGCAGTCACCTTATTCTCCTCGAGGGAGGGAATGGAGGGATTGTCCTGTTATTTTGGGTCTCGGTCAGCTGTCCTGGGGTCCAGTTCTGTCAAGGCAGCTGTTTGAGATGCCTTCGTGCTTTTCTCCACCCACATGATTTGTTGAAAATATTTTTCCTCGTGTTGCTGTGGTGCTCTCCTGAAAACTAGCTGTGAGATGCCACATTTTCAGGTTGTGTTTTTTCAACCTCTATTACTGTATTTTAGCTTGATCCTGCTCCTGTTGAAGTAACGAGCTCTGAAATCCAGCATGCTGTGTTTTAGATGAAGGTAGTTAGATGGGGCCTAAGTGTTTCCAAATATTAAATGTACAGCGATGATTGTTCCTCAGTGCAATTTATTGCATCTTGGGCTTGTTTGCCGTGGAGGATGGTTGGTAAAGGAATGCAAAGGAGGGAATCATACAATTGTCACATGGATGGATTTAGCTATGACAGAAATGCTTTTCTTGCATTTCTTCATGGTGGCCAGGTGCGCTTAGTACACTGTGGATATGCTTTTAATGTTGTGTTACTTTAATTGTGCTAATTGTGTTGAGTACAGCCGAAGTTACAGGGAAAGGTTTCAAGGTCTTCCAAGGCTGATGAGAAGTACTCAGTCAGCACAGCGAGACAACCTGGTGTTCAAGATGCAGGTGGCAGGTCTGTCCTTCCAGTCTTCCTGGCTGAGCAAGGGATTGCTCCTCATCCCTTAGGTCAAGTTATCACAGAGAATCCCAATAGACTGCACTTCATTGATGCAACCATTCATCTAGAAAGAGTCTCTTCTGGTCTGGGTGCCTCAGACTGCCTTGGTATTATCCAAAGGACCTTTATGTTCACTGGGTTGATTCAGTTTGGACTGTAATTTCATTACAAAGAGTCAAAATTACAGCAAGGGAGACAGAGAATCCTAGGGAAAATCCGTTTACTAATGTAGTAGTGCATGCCGCTTTCTGGGGAGAGAGTACTTATGAGTCAGTTGGAAGGGAGCACTGGAAAATGCAAAGGCAGCATGCAACTAAAAATGGCATTTGACCTTCGTTATATTTTCATTAGCTTTTCTTTTGTGTCAGGAAAAATCCTCCAGTCAGCTTATACTGTTGCAGCAAAAGGCATTCATTCCTTTAAAAACTGCTGTTAATAAACTATGGCATTTTAAGTAAATTCCCTAAACGGATCCTATCAAGGAGAGGAAGCATCTTCTTTGGCCTGCCTAAGACAATTTGTAGCCTCATGCTTCTCCCTTGGCCTCCCATGGTCTAGACCATGCTATTAAATGGCTGTGCTGCAGAGTTCAAGGCAGAGCTCGACGTTGTCAGACACCAAGCTGGTTTTAGAGTTTCAGAGTTGGATCACCCCCATCCGAAAGTCCTACCTTGGTGGCACTAAATGCCATCTTTGCTTTGTGGTACTGCCTGCAGAGGCACACATTTTGTGATTACGAAATTCAAACAGCTTCGCACCTGTGCAGCAGATGATCTGACGGATTCATTTTCATTCTAAGCAAAATCCAGTAGTCTGCTGACTTGATTTTATTTGTATTTGTTATGAAAAGAAAGCTCCTCCTGCTGATTTTCTTGGCTACGGAGAGGATGACTGCAGGGAAGTCATTGAATCTGGCGGCTGATGCTGTGACCTCCTGGCTGTGAGCAAGGAGAACGACAACGGTGCATTTGAAAGCACAGTGTCACGGCAGAGCCTTCCTATTAATGTCCTAGTGTCGTTAGATCCAAACAGGATTGCAGCAGGACCTTTCGATGCTCTGCATTTTGTTATAATACAGACGACTTCTCAACTCTCAAAGATCGGCGGCCTCGTCCCTGCTCTCAGCTGAGAGAAGCTCCCGCAGGCAGCATAGGTGTGGGAGGCTGAGGCCATTCAGAAAGCTGAGCACAGCCCGTCGCTGAGCTGGGTATGACCTGGTGCAGGTGAGAACGGCTCTTGGGGCTTCTCCTACCTTTCGTGGGTGAGCGAACGATTTAACAATATGCGTTAACTGAGGGGGATTTAATTTCCCCTCTACGTACCTAAACCATGCATACTCTGAACAGAAACACTGGATGGAGCCTGCAGCCTTTACTCAGGGAAACTTTCAGGGCTGTCGCTTGGCTTTTGCCCGAATTGAGTGTTAGGAGGCCTGCTCTGCGCATTCGTCTCGCAGCGCGGCAGGCACTAGCTGGGTAGAATTACAGGGGCCTTCTCACCGGCCCCCATGCCAAGGTTCACAGTTGCCCTGCGCGGCAGCCGTCCTTCTGACGGAAAGGCACAAGACTGGTCCTCGTGCCCTCGCTGCCCTCGCTGCCCTCGCAGCAGCAGAGGCCAATCCTTTCGGGAGGTGGCGGAGGAGGACCTGACCTCTGGGTAGCACCGACTGCAAAGAGAAGAGCCTGCAGGGCCAGACGCGCGAGAGCAAGGGGTAGCTCTGGGGCTGGATGCTGGACACCTCTCACCACCTCAGGAATGAATTGCAGGAGCCCCGAGGAAAAGGTCGAGTACAGCACGGCCATTGCCAGGGGAAGCGGAGAGAGCCCGGCTCCCGGCAGCCCAAACGTGGCGGGGGGAGTTGCCCACGCCGGGCTCGATGGGTGCCTCAGCTCAGAGCTGGGGATCGGGGGAGTGTCACCCACGTGGCTGACTTGCTGTGGGATCCATGTAAATCCCAGGTACAAAAGCAGACTCATAGCCTTCCCGTATGTCAGCACAGTACGCTGAGAGCTGCAGTGAAGAAGCACTGTTCAGCCGAGGAACGGCACCGTCGTTGGCGCTTGGTTATAGCGTTGGTAACTGGCAAACACGTGCCCTTTAGAATAACTTTGTGATTCCTCAAATAATACTTGGAGCTTCTGGAAAAACTTGCACTCAACAATCCCACGTGGATTCATGTCATCGCAAATAATGCTCATTTATTACGCTGAGGCCAGCGTTAATCTTTCATGTATATTATATTCTCCTACATTGATCTCATGTGGTGGGGGGGAACTTGGATACAAATTGGTTAGGTGGCATGACCGAGGTGACTCAGAAGGCCAGAGGCACTCAGGAGCAGGTTGCCTATTTCCCAGCTCTCTGTTTTAAATGAGATCTTAGAGCTCATTTATCACTTGTTTATTTGCTATTTCTGGGGGTATGTGGCATATACAGTATGCTACAGAAATCAGGGAAAGGATCTAGAGTGAAGCCAGTGTTAGGATATTCTCTCAGGACTTCTGAACTGCCTGGTATTTTGTTTTCTTTTAGAATACATTATCAAGTCTGATTCAATTCAAGTTTGACCTGAATTTTGAAGTGATTAAAAATTACCGCTTTATAAGACTATAACTTATAAGCTAGTCACTTTCTTTGCCAAAAAAATGCCATTGCTGTTTAATAAGAACAGAAGTTGTCCATATCTTTACAGACTATTAGAAAACATGGCCCTTCAATGACTGCTTTAATGTCTTAGCAAAATACCCTTTAGCCCTGTATTACTATTTCATAATCATTTGATTTTATGATGTTCTGTTAACATGTCTATTGTGGCTATTTGTGTATACAGTATTATCAGACAAGTCCTCCTACCAGTGCTATATAAGCTACAGTTTCAAAGTCCAGTGAAGCAAAGTCCTGGGTCAATCTAAGATCAGCACCAAGATTTGCAGGAGCGCCCAAGAGAAGTCCCACTTTGCAGTTGTGGTATGGATGACAAGGTAGGGGACACACTATAAAAGGAGAAAGCGTTATATGCGAGTCTCTTCTCTTTGGGGACCTACTGGGTACAGCAATGACCTGAATTACAGGGTTTGTTTTAAAACAAACACAGTTGCAACAGAAGGCACAGGCATCCCTACAAATCAGGCCCGGTGTGTCCCTGGCAGGACAGCCATCTCCATTGGGGTCAGGACCGACTGGATCCTTGATCCCACAGCATGCCAGTACTCGGCAGGCAGACTGCAGCTCTCTGGATCTCCTGCCTCTACTCTACCTGCAGCGGGCACCACAGATACATCAGGTGCCTGAACACTGGTGTCGAAAGAACATAGATAGCTTTGGTTTTGATGTTTAGGTTGTATTTTGAGTCTTACACCATCTCCAGCTTGTTGTTGCTACATGATTAGTAAGTACAGAGCTTCCAAACTTCTTTGTTAATGAGTAGCTTAAAGAAACATCTTTGGGATAGAGACCCTGAAGTCTGAACCTTCCCAAAAACAATGGCTTGATCTGTGCATGCTCAGTTATATTAGACAAGTCTGAGGTTACATTGCGGATTTTTTTATGTTTTGATGCTTTCTCATATGCACGCTCGCAGTGTGCCTGCCCCAGGGTGCTGGCACTTATCCACTGTACTGCTATATCGCTTTCCTTTCTGTAGAAATAGGGGGAACCCCATCCCTTTAAGATGATTGACTTGAGGCTGCACTTAACTCATTCACACACATTTCCAGGAGCTGATGCAGCTGTGGTGGCGATGAAGGAATGACAGAGCACATACACAAGGGCACGGCAGATGGGGGAGTCGCGTTGCTCCCCCCATGTTGCTCATGTTGTTGTTGTGACAGCGGCACATGGCCTTCCTCTGCGTCTGTGACAGCTAGCCCAGGAGCTCCTGGTCTTCTGCTATTTAGTTACGTTCCTGTGGTTAGTTTTATCTATCAAAAACTGCCAGAGAGAGGGAGCTGGGAAGCTCCTCAGAACCACGTCCTCGCTGCCGGGCAGGGGAGGGCAGGGGCCGAGGCAGCGTCCTGGGGGCTGCCTCGCTGGAGGGGAGCGGCCGCCCAGCGGGAATGATAGG